CACGGTTCAAATGCCCCCCAAATGCAACCACACATTTTCTACTTTCTGAAGAATACTGTATTTCTGAAGGCACCAGCAATCAACATGTTTCTCATTTGAAACTAAGTTTAATCTGAACTAGTTGTTTCCTAGCTATTTGCCTTGGGCAAACCGGTGCCTGAGAATTTTTCTCATAAGAAAACTAAGGAGCATGCAGGATGAGAATAGACTGATGGAAAACCATGCATTTTTCAGAGAGAGAGGGAGCTATTTGCAAGGGATGGGGCAATGATCGGATTAAGTGTTGAGTTGTTAGAGATTTGTGGTGCTGCCTCAGAATCAACAAGATTTGGTTGACTGAACATATACTGGTCTCTCAGAGCTTGCAGACTTCACTTGAAGAAGGAGATTAAAGCTATTCTAAATTGCTATGTGATTTGAGGGAGGGTATATACCAAAGGTATTTAAAAGTTGGGTTTTATAGCCACTACTTCCACACTATCTCCTTTACATTCAATAAATACCAACAAAACTTGGTGTTTAGTGAAAAGTGACAGATAGAGTGTAAGGAAAAAACCATGGTATGCCACTAACACCTGGGTGACTTTGGCCAAGTTATTTATTTCTCAGATCTTCAGTTACTTCATACAAAAGACAGACATAATGATGCTGTGTTGAGTTGAGAACGGTGCATTGTTGAGAATCATGAATAAAATAGTCCCTAGCATAGTGCCTGTACATTGAAGAAAATAAGCACTCTTTTTTTGTCTTTTAAGAATATCTTAAGTTCTGTTTAACACGTGTTTTTTTTCCCTCTTTATTTCAGGAGGAATGGCCACTAGGCACTTTCAGGGGAGGGAGAGTAAGGAGGTAGGCAGTCCCAGGTGGTTTTGGTTTGTTTGTTTGTTTGTTTTTAGCATCTCAATCACTTGTTTTAGAGGAAGGACAAGTATGAAAGAAACTAGGAAAACATCCATGAGAGACTCTGGAACAACTGGAAGTGAGGCATGGTGCATGAATTCACGGTAAACAGAGACACCAGCCACTTTTGGCTAGGAGAGTACAAAACAAACCTTATTGGTTTTAAAGGCACCTAATCAACTAAGCTAAATCTTTGTGTCTCTCTGGGCTCACAATTATAGTAGATGGACTAGTTATTTATTTTTGTTAAACCAAAGAAAGATGAAGGATCATGGTGACAAAGGAGGTACTCTCAACAGTGACAAATTCCTTTCCTCTGAGTTCTCTCTTCTTTTTTAGATAAAACAGTGATGGCCTCTTTGGTAAAATCTAACTAAACATGATGATTTCATATTATGGAAATCCTTACTCAGAATTTGGAAGGTATTTATTTTTTTTACTTAAATTATTTTCACCTCTGTAAAGCTGGGTTGAAAAAACTATGTCTTTAATAGAAGTACTATATATCTATGATTTTATGAAGAAAAAGAATATCAGAAACAATAAAGGGTTTTGGACCTGGTGACTGAGCTATTGTCTCTAGGAAATGTGAATTCTGGGCAGAGAGGTGCAGAATTGCATCCCTAAGAACCACTACTTCACTTTCTTACAGAAGGGAGATGGGATATATGTGCAGATTCTAAGTGTCTTAACAGAGTTTAATGTTTTCTAGCGACATAAAAGGACTAGCTTTCAAAACCTTGAATTGGAGGGAGATAGGAAAACCCAGGAGACAGGAATTCTCCTAAATGTGCTAATAGTCAAATGGACTAGTGCTTCCTCCTTGAGGACCACAGACCAAGCTGGTCTCCATGTACCTGAGTGACAAGAACATCTTTGAAAGCTCAGTGCATTCTGAAAGCTAAGTAAGAAAATCAAAAGGAACTGCTTTTGCTAGCAAAAAAATTCAACACGGTGTGTGTTTAAAGGCTTTCTTTTCTTTTCTTTTTAACCTTAGGCAATGAAATGCTCTTACTCTGTATCAAACATAACAGGCAGCCTTTTCTCTTACAAATATTTCCATCTCTAAGAGAGGAGTGTTCTGGCTTTTGGCTAACAGCATGCCCATATCTAACGGCAGTACAGACAGAATGCCAATTTGCTGTAGAAGCAATTATACATACAGACTAGGAAAAGGCCAATTTCACTATGCAAGGACCACACATACTGTATGTTTGTTATATTATTTGATATCAAAGCAAAAACATCAAATTCTTCCTAAAACACACATGAAATGAAGAGCCTGGCTAAGGAACTCCCACATCTAATTCAGAGATATCTGTTACAGCTTATAGAACTTGGCAATGCTGACACTACTGTTTTACTGGAAAGAGACACGTTTATTGATTCCATGATACACTATGACTTTTTTACATATATCTTGGGTAAAATGAGCATAATTTTGATACTAATTGCTATAAAACAGGTACACTATCAATGTATGACACTTAGGTATCACATCACCAGTGTAATAGTAAGAACTTGCCAATCCTATGACACTAGGTGACCTCATAATATTTAATCAGGGGTCAAGATTATTATCATAACTTAAGAGGGGTGGTCTATAGTAAGAATTATCATCTCTGTTTCATTTTGAAACATTACGATGTTGGTGTGATTCATTCATTTGTTCATTGCACAATTACTATATCTCTACTCACTGCCAAATACAGGCCTCAGGGATACAGAGCTAAATGAGACATGGCCTTAGGGAAATACATTCTTGAGGTGGGAGAGGGGAAAAAGAAAATGAACACAATAAATCAGGGCAATGCATACTATATTTTATATAGCATATGTAAATAAAGACTCATAGAGAAAGCATGTGGTAGAGAAAAGACGGTCAGAGAGAGTAAAACTGAGGACACCCTGGAATGAGGAGCTGCAGTTTCTTGTGTGGATTAGGGGGTTGGTCCTTCAGGAACAGGGAATAGCATGCAAAGTGTGAGAGTGTGAGAGAGCAGGGGTCTGAAACGTTTGCTATTCCTGGAGCAAATGTGTGAATGAGAAATGAGCCTGGAGAAGAAGGGATGCCACATTGGAAGGGCTCTGCACACCATGATGAAGAGGGCATATTTTCACACATTCCCAGATACTCTAGATAAAATAAAGCAAACAGTATGATACTGGCATAGAGATAGATAAATTAATAAGACAGAACAGGAAGTGGAGAAACAGAATAGGAAAATTAGGTGACATGTGAAAGTTTAACAGTGAGTAAAGAATGGATTTTTCAACAACTGGTGTTTGGACAATAGTCAATTATTAGTCAAACCACTTGAAAATAAAATTTAATTCCTATCTACCACACTGCACATGAAAAAATATTCTTATATGGATGAAAGATTTAAATGTAAAGTATCAGAAGAAAATGTTTATAATCTTGGGATTAGGGGATGACCTTCTTTTTATATGTAAATTTGACATCAAAATGGCAAAGCAAATTTTACAAAGCAAAACAGACAGATATAATCACAATCTTCAAAAAATACAAACTTTTGAAAGGTGTAAGACACTATAGTTGTAAGAAAAATGACAAGTTAGGAAAAATATTCGCATTATATGTAATAGCCAAAAGATTAGCACCTACAATAATTTGCTGAGCTCCTACAAATCAATAAAAAAATCACCTAACAGAAATGGGCAAAGGACACAGATAAGCAATTCATGAAAGAAATGATACTTTATGATACAAAAGTATGCTCAATTCCCATTACATCAAAGGAATACTATAGTTTTACTTTTCACCTGTTAGATAATAAGCAAGAGATGCCTGTGAGGGACAGATATGCCAAATAATGGTTATAATGCCCAGGGTTGACAGGGTATGAAAAATGAGAAATCAAACACTAAAGGTATGAAATCATTATGTCCTTTTTGCAAGATAATTTGGTAACATCTGATCCTATAAATCCATATCTTCATTTTATAGAAATATATACATAAGTATACACATATGCAAAACTCATTTTTTGCATATGCAAAACAACCAAGAATATTTACTGCACTGCTGTTCATAAGAGTGAAAATCTGAAAACAACCTAATGGTCCACAAAAAGGATTAATTTAATAAATTGCAGCAGGTAGATAAATAAATTACTATGCTGTTGCTGAAAAGAATATACTGGCATGGAAAGATGTTCATGATATATATTTAACTGAAATAAACAATTAGCAGAACAATATCTACAGGACAAGCTGCCAAGAGAGATAGTGAACTATAGCAGTTAGCAGCATGGGTGTTGGAATCAAATAGCCCTAGATTTGAGTCCCAGCTCCACTGCTTACCGGATATGTGAAAATTACTAACTTCTCTGAGTCTTGGTTTCATTTGTCCACCTGGAATGGATTCTAATAGGACTTACCTCTCAGAGTTATAAGGAGAATTTCTAGTACATAGTGAGGCTAAATATACTAGTTATTGTACTACCGTTACCACTTTTCTATACTTATTTTCAACCAATTCTCTTATGAAAACAACTTCAAAAAATGCAATCTAATATCCTTTTGGAAGATTATTCTGGATAAAGTCTTTAACTGAATTTATACATCAAAGACAATTTTAGCTTATATAACCAAAATATTGTATTATTTGTTCAACTAACAGGCTAATGAATTTGACACATCAATTTCTGATGTAGGTCAGTTTTGATCGAATATTTGTAAACCACAATACAAACAAGGACCATGTTTGAGCAATATATTTAAGAATAAAAATAAGGAACTGTTAAGTTTACATAGGCCCAGTTATTGAGAACTCTAAAAAGCCTTCATGGCACAAATTAGAAATTGTCCTCTAGTCATCAAACATCAAACTGATGTTTTTATGGTCATTTCTATTGTATACCTCTTCTTTTTATGGTAATTCCTATTGTACACATATATAATTTTCAATCATATTATCAAGAACAACATCAAAAAGTAGGAAGGTACTCCTTTACACATTTTCCCCTAATAAGACTAGGAAAATATCCCATTCAAAATGAGAAAATGTTATGTAGTAATATATTTAATTGCCTAAATATATAACATAGAGTCTATATATGAAGAACCATACATACCCTTCTGTTCGGAAAATTGTTCGAAAGCTGTCTCCTAAGCTTTTGTAACTGTTTGGATCAGTTGAACTTCTCTGAATCTGGAACCTAAAAACAAAATTAAATACACACAAAAGTCCAAGTTAAAGATTTTGCCAAATGTTTTTTCTCATTTTTCATCTTAGGAAACTCAGCCTTTTCAGATTAACCCAAAAATATTATTTTTTTTTTTGCTATAGAGTTTATTGATTTATTTTTATATACCATTTACCTTATTTTTGTAACCTTTAAATTATTGTATTTCTCTGTACTTTAATAGAAACTGTAGAAAGAGGTTTTTTCCCATCTGTTGCTCAGCCAGACAGATGCACCCTGAGGCATGCATGCTTTTCTCTTTTGTGAAAAACATACACAGATGTCATCGATTGCTTTAATGGATAATTCAGAAATCTGAAGATGCATGTGAAATAAAGAAGTAGCTCTATTTCTTATCTTAATTAGTGCTCCTTGATGGTAAGTTAAGACAAAGGTTAACAATACAGAGCAGCTAATGTGGCCTAACTTGGATCCTGACTGTGAATTTGGAATTCATTCTGGCAGATAGGGAGGGGCCTGTGCTTAGAGTGAGAGTTGGCACTGCAGTGTGATACAGTTGACGTTCACTCCTTCATGATGGAGCAATTGGTCATTGTGGGTAGTTCAGGCTACCTGGATCTTTACAGAAGTGCAATGCTCTGCATACAATTGGTGCTCAAAAAAGTGTCCCATTTTGCAATGCTAGATTCTTTTTTCTCCTTCTCTTTGGGTATGATCATGCATCTTGGAACTCTAACCTTCAAAATATGGAAGTTTTCAGTATGAGGGTAATTTTGTATTTTACCCTGGGGTTTGTTTCTAAAGAAGAAATTTATGACAACTGTTTTCATTTCCTGACACCCCAGTTGTTCTGTTGTCAGGCTTCTTTAGTCTGCCTATTCCTTGTGTTTAACTTCCTTGTCCCAATTCTGAATTAAGGCCCGTATCCCTTCTGTACTTTCCTCCATAATTTTAGCAAGCATTTAAAAAATTTTGCAAAAGCACCTCTTATATTCTCTAATTTGAGATGTTTTTCTCAGATTGTTGCATTTATGATAGGACCACAACTTCTACTTCTCTAAGAGTGATTTATTTTGTATTTCTAGACCCCAGGGAATTATGTTGAAAACTGATACATATATCACAGAAAAGTGTGAATAATTACTCTGATTGAAGAGGTTGAGCATATGAACAAAACAAGTATATGATAAGATTGGAAAGGATTTTTTTTAAGTGGAGAGTTGTTGAATGTGATTGTTTAGGAGACTAGCCATTATGAAATGAGGGAATTAAGCCTTCATCAGAGTGCTTGGCACATATAAATCCATAAAAAATAGTTATTGCTTCATTGGGTGAATTAGAAAGAGCGCATGGAGGGCAGAACATGAAAGCAACACAATAGTCTAGGTGAAGATAAGAATGTCAGAATATGAATGGTGGCAACAGAAATGTAATAAAAGGGATGAATTTGTTGGGTAATCCTTTTTCTTTTAAAATAATTTTCCTTTTTAAAATAATATATTCAACATGACCCTTTTTAATCCCCCTCAACCTGGCAAGTAATATTCCACAGCCCTAGACCTACCATTGTCAAAGTTTAAAATGCCTTAGATACTCATCTTCATAAAGGTTTTGCTTGCCAAACTTGTAAGATTACTAGCATGAAAATTTTAAAAGGTTTGTTTCTAGGCAAGAACCATATCTATACAATTTAAATTGCATGAAGCTTATCAGAAGATAGTGGACCAGGACAGCTAAGTCATTTAAATTAGTCTGGATCCAGATGTGCATCTGGTGTGTGTATAACCACTGGCCTAGAAGACTCAGTAAGCCGTTCTGTCTAGAATCAAGAACATGATCTGTTGTTCAAATAGATGGACCATGTTTGGTATTTCTGAACTACTGCATGTGGATGATAGAACAGAATCTCCATTTCTGATTTGCATATTTGTAACCTATATTCATTGCTGAGTGTGAAACATTTCCTTATGTCCAGTTGGGAAGTCTAAGACTCTTCTCTAATTTTTCTTTTGTTTGTTTAAATATACTTTTATTGATTTCAGAGAGGGAGGAAGAAGTAGAGAGAGCTAGAAACATCAATGATGAGAAACACTGATCGGCTGCTTTCTGCACACCCGCTACTGAGGATCAAGCCCGCACCTGGGCATGTGCCCTAACGGGAATTGAACTGTGACCTCCTGGTTCATAGCTTGATGCTCAACCACTGAGCAAAACTGGTTGGGCTAACTATTCTTTTAAGAAAATAACTTGAAAATATTTTGTATATTATAAAAGCATCACATGCTCATAGATTTTTCTCATTTATAATAATTTTTATTGTGTGTTTACCTCTGTCAAATTCTTTTCTAGATGCTTCTCTTTCAAATGACCAAGTATTTTAAAAAATTGCCATATGAAATAAAATGCTACAGATTTTATTTTTCAAGAAGCACAATAAACAAACACAGGAGAAAAAATAATTAGCAGTATATCCAAAATGTCAAGTAGCATCAGTACCATGTGCCCAGGTGTTCATCAGAGGGAGCAATTACCACTTCCTGAGGAGGAACAAAAAGGATTTCAAAAAGGAGAAAGGATTTGAGCTGGCCCTGTAGGATTCAGAGATGTGAAAGAGCAAGCTAGGAGAAAGCATGTCAGGTGGTGGGGGCGAGGAACAAAAGCCAGTGAGGAAAAGACCTTTCAAGAGAAATGAGGGAAAAGATCCCAACACAGCAACTGGCAACTGCTAGCTTCCTTCAGGGCAGGTGCTACAGCAGCTGCTGGTGGCATTCAGTTGCTCAGGGTGGGTGGAGAGCTGAGAGGGGTAGAGGAGGGTATTTAGGAGATAAAAGTCAAAGTCCAATACAGGTCATTTGAATTTTTCCTGCTTCTTAGCTGAGCACTTCAGCTAACTCTGCAGGGCCACTTCACAGTTGTGTGCCTCTGGCCCCAGAAGAGACTGTGAGAGTCAGCAGAGGGCAGAGGCAATGCCTGAAAAGTGTCCTGCCGGGGCAGAGGCATCAGTTTGGTCTATGATGTCATGCGCTTGGGTAAGGCAAGCCTTCTGTTGGCTTAAGCAAAGACAAACACAGTACTACAGTTATTTCACAATTAACTAGTTATCTAATCTGGCCATTGGAAGTCTAAGCACTTCATTCACTAGTTGCAATTTCTTTCTTTTTTCAGAATCCAACAGATGGTACTTCCAATCCCCTATTTATTAAGTTGATAAGAGTTCTTGAACATTTACTATGTATTAGGCATTCCATTATTTGAGGCATTAAAGAAGTAAGACATAATCCTGCCCTTTATTATTATTATTTTTAAAAATTTATCTTTATTGTTGAAAATACTACAGATGCCCTTCCCCTTTCGCTCCCCCCCACCCACTGACTCCCTCCACTCTGCTCCCATCCCCCACCCCCAGGTCTTCACTGCATTATTGTCTGTGTCCATGGGTTATCCTATATAATAAGAGGCTAATCTGCAAATTGGCTCCTCAACTGGGAGTTCGACTGGGAGTTCAACCAGAGGGCAGGCTGGCCAGCCAACCACTCGCAGTCCCTCCCCCCAACCAGCCCCACCTCCAATTACTTCCCCCGACCCTGATCGGGGGAAGGCCAGCTGGACCCCACCTGTGCACAAATTCATGCACCAGGCCTCTAGTGCATCCTATATAATAAAAGCCTAATATGCAAATTGACAAAATGGCGGAATGACTGGTGGAATGACCAGTCGCTATGATGCACACTGACCACCAAGGGGCAGATGCTCTATGAAGGAGCTGTCCCCAGCCCGCAGGCTCCAGGCCAGCCAAGGCGGGTGCCAGCGGGTGCCTCCCTGATTGCCCTGCAGGTCACCCCACAGAGGAAGGCCACTGGCAGTGGCAGCAGGGGGTGGGGCCGGCGAGTAGGCAGTGCCAGGCCAGCCAAGGCATGTGCCAGTGGAAGACCCTCAATCACCCTACTGGTCGCCCCACAAATCAGCCCTGATCGCTGGCCAGGCCTAAGGACCCTACCTGTGCACAAATTTCATGCAGCGGGCCTCTAGTGTGTGTGTGTGTGTATATATATATATATATATATATATTTTTTTTTTTTCCCCTTGGTTAATCTCTTTTTGCCCTCCTTACCCTGCTCCCCTCTGAGTTTCGTCAGTCTGTTCCATGCTTCCATTTCTCTAAACTTACAGGTAAGGTGAAGGAGTTAGGTGCAAATAGATGATTACTATATGCAAGGAATAATGTTTAGGAATAGTGTTTTGGAATATCAGATGTCAGCCAATGAGTTTTATTGATACTGAATTAACACTAGTATCACTCTTATTGGAGATGATCAATGGGTGGACTGTGGCTGACAGAAAACAATATGACATAGAGACACTGGACTAATGAGGAAAAACAGGAAGGTTATCTTTGGGCTAAATATCTGTGATTAAACTTTCCCCACCCACATTAGAGCAGGCAGCAAAGACAGTCAGTGGAATCCTTGAGGAGGGTTCCATTTAGAAGCTGACTGTCTGATGAGTGATGCTATGCTAATTACAAACAGGAGTGGCAACATCAAAGCAACATTACATGAGGAGCGTCCACAACAGCCTTGTTGAGCAATGCAAGAGGCATGGTAAATACTAATTCCTCAGTAAGGTCTATGCACCACTCTTTACTGCTAAAGCAGCTGGAGGTCCCATTAAACAGGCTAAGGCAAGAATAGCTGTCTCTTCTATTGCACATTTCACATACTGCGTGTCTACACTCTTCAGAGGAAGTACATGCAGTATTTAGTTCCACTGCACATGGCTTATTGTGATCACAGAGTTATCAGTTCTTCTAAGGAATCTGTTTCAAGTTGATATAATTACAGTGCATTTTGGTCAATCATGTAAAACAGCAATTTTCTTCTTCCTCTCCACTACATTTCAGCAACTTAAAAGGTCTCTCTCTTGGACTGAAGTTTTACATCAGCATGCTACAAGCTGCATTCTATGCTAACAAATTCTCTCTATGCTTGAGGAGACAAATTTCCAGTTACGTA